GCGCCGGGAACATTTGAACTAACTGCGCGGTTAGCGGCTCAGACCTGCGGTGCCACGTCTGCTTTAACTGAAATAGCAGAAACCTCACATTAATATATAAATCGATATATAAATACCGAGTACAGATAGCAAGTGCGACGGATCCCTTTTTTTTCTGATTTGGAATCCACGGTCACAATATATGCACATTGATGTGCCTCTCTGTAATCACCTCGCGTGAGAATCATTTGTGCGCAAACTGTGTCGCGGCGTGTGCTACACGAGGCTGTGTTATATATATATATATATATATATATATATATATATATATATATATAGGGTGTTTCAGAGAACGCAGGTCAAATCGCTCCTGCGAAAACTACTCATCGCAACGAAAAAAGGCTTGTGGCGTTTTGGTCCTGGGCCAGGGGCCCATTTATGAAAATTATTAAAGTCCTGGATACTTAAGTTGCTAATTATTTTTGCGTAATTAACTTTTTAATATTGTGTTTAAGGGCGTGGTTTATATTAGAAAATTGCCCAGCATCATGGAAAAACACTAAATCAACAAATTGCAGAACAATAGAAGCCAAACATGTTACGGCTTTCTGAAAAACCGCACAAATTCGACGGGTTTTTAAGTTTCGGTTTGCTATCGGAGCGCATCTCGGCCCCGGCGGCACCGCGCCCCGTGGAGAGAGAGTGCAACCAACCTCTGCTGCGCTGTCATCGCGCGACGCAGCAGAGTCTGGTTGCACTATTTCTCAGCGGGGCGCGGTGCTGCCGGGACTGAGATGCGCTCCGATAGCAAACCGAAACTTAAAAACCCGTCAAATTTGCGTTTCTATTGTTCTGGATTTTGTTGATTTAGTGTTTTTCGATGATGCTGAGCAATTTTCTAATTTAAACCATGCCCTTAACACACAATATTAAAAAAAGTTAATTACGCAAAAATAATGAACAACTTAAGTATCCCGGACTTTAATAATTTTCCTAATTGGGCCCCTGGCCCAAGACCAAAACGCCACAAGCCTTTTTTCATTGCGATGAGTAGTTTTCGCAGGAGCGATTTGGCCTGACTTCTCTGAAACACCCTGCACACACACACACCATATATATATATATATTCGTGTTGGAGAGTCTACCACAAAGCTAAGCTATAGTTTGAGCTATGTGCCCAGTCTTGTTGTGCACAGTGGCGTCAAAACAAAACGCATATCCAACGCTTCCATTTTGGCGGCGCATTTTCGTTCCGCACCAGACGTCGCCTGCATATTACCACTTGAAAACAAATAGAGTTATAAACTCAGTCGACCAGGAGTCACGCAACTGTTTTATTTTTTCCATGTCTAAGCCGCCCTCCGCTTACCTTTCGGTAGTAGCCCAGGCGAAGGAACGGCACGGGGTTCTCCGCAGTTCGTCAGCCGTCTAAGAAACAATCGGAGCACACACGACTGCTCTTCGATGGCAAGAGCTCTTTCCTGCTTAAATTCGCCAGCCACCGGCGTTGCAGGTCCAGAGCAGAGGGGAACCAGTGCAGCATAAACATGCCGCACCCGCATTCATCCTGTTTGGCAGTGTGGGTCTTGCACACTGAATCGGCGTTTATTTTACGTTTGTTGTTTTTTTTTTTTTGGTTATTTGCACAACCAATGTCAGCACAGTGCTGCCCGGTCGATTCTTTTCTTGCATAGGCCAGGTCACGCGCGAAAACACGCTATAATAAACAGTTTTAGTGGACCGTACGCTATAGCTTTGCGTACGCAAGGAGATTGCGGGTCGTGAGTGCGCATGCGCAGAACGCAATAGAAGGGCTAGCGTATTGCGTACGCACGCAACGCTGGGGATTTTGCGTTGCTGGCTAGCGGGCCTTGCTGGACGCTCTCGAGAGATCTCGGACCCAACGAGAGGGCCAGTTTCAAGATGGCGGTTGCCTCGACTGGCGCAGTAAGGGCGACGGGGTGTTTTCGAAGCTCTGTGTTACGTGAAATTGCGTGGTGTTCAACTCGGCGATTCTTTCTGGGACCTACCGCGGTCGAATCAGATCGCCCTGCAGCTGAAGGAGTGCACAATGGAAATGCTCGCCGCTTGCAGTGTGCGTCGACGCTGTGATCTGCTCAACGCTAAGCCTTTTCCCACAGTTCATCGCCGACGGACGAATGACTCTAAAAGAAATCGCCGAAGTTCTCGCTATGCACTGGTCATCAGGGTCATGAATTTCGTCCCGCGATAGCATTGATAAAAGGTGTTGTTTCCACGGGACGACTGACGGAGGCTCCGTGATCGAATTTGGCTACGCACTCGTACTCGTAGCCTCTGTACCCCGCAGAAAAGCGCGCTTGACGAGAGAGAGAGAGAGAAGCGTTGTTATAGAGGTTGGGGGGGAAAGGAGACAGCCGCGCTTGACGAGGCAGCTGTGGCTTGTTTTAATCTGAAATAAAATGATTGGACACTTTTTCTTTTCAAACATTTCTTTCCAGGAGCATGGTTGCGCTATAAGCACGCGGAATTCTACGGCTCTAGCAAATTTAACCAAGATCATGCGCGGTGTTCACTCGAAAACGTAACGCACAGCTAAATTCGGTCCGAGCAGGTCATTTTTAGCGTACGCAATACTATTGCGTATTGCGTACGTAAGATCCCGCAACGCTATACTAAAACTGTCTAATATCAAAGCGACGCCTAACATTGTCGAAACAACTTTCCTCCGTACACTGCGCACGCGCTTTCTCCACAGTTCACTCCGTGAGGCAGACGAGCTTTCGAAAGAAAGGCCAAGCGGACAATCGGCGCAGCGCTCTGGTTCTGGAGTTGTTTTCCCCCTCCTGCATAGGCCTTCTTGGAACGGTGTATATACACCAACTCATATTTACAAACAAACCGGAGCGCCCCTAGCGCACGCCACCGGCGCCGCGCATGCGCGATGGAGTGTGGGCAAGAAGCTCGGCGTCGTCCATAAACAAACCATTGAAATGCGATGTTGTCGGCGTCGGTGTAAGTCGCCCTGCGCTTTTTCGCGTTCGAATTGTTGATTCTACGTTTTGCTGGCAATGCCTGAGTATTTGAGCCGCCTCAGTGAGATTGCTGAGGCTCGTTACACCGCAAAACTTCGCGTGAATAATGTGACATGCGGCGATTCATTTCGCGTGGACGCCGCAGAATGGACGCCAAACCTGATTCGCATGATTAGGGGCCCGCTCGTAATTTTCAGTCGCGACGTCGCTCAGGCTGCAAAAACGGGAAACGTAGCTGAGATGGCCGACGTTGATACTGAAAATCGCAAGCAGAATCGGACCAAGTGAATCAGGCATAACAAGTCGGTGATGGTCACTGTTAACAATGATCAACATCTCCTTGTTTCTACTGTTTGCATCGAGCCGACTTACCAAACTTCAAACGTAAGTCTCTTGAGGCCTGCACATACTTCTTATAGCAAGTATCGAGCCAACTCTTGGCCTACGGGCCAGAGTCGTCTAAAAGAGCAGACGACAAGCAGAAACGTTTGAAAGATCAGACGACAGTTCGAACGATCAGGCGGCCGTTTGAACTTGAAGACGCACTGAACGTAGTCCGCAGGTGGTCCATACGACTTGACGGTTTTCCGGCGCTCATGTTGCACCAAAACAAATAAATATATGACCGCAAGTATCCGTGAATTCAACCCAAAGTGCTCCCCGCCCAGACAATCGTGGTCCGACGGCGTCTGGTTTTCCCTTTTCACGGCACATATCCACGTTCTCGGACGAAACGAGCACATGAAACTGACCTTCAAACCTTTCTGGACTCTTTGTGTACAGTCCCTGTTGCGTCTTTTGACGAGAAGGCAAATTGTTGTCTGTTTTTTTTTTTTTTTCAAAACAACGTAGAAATACACGTCTCACATGGGGACTTCTGCCCAGAACCCCAGACCGGAAGTGCGCTCGACGCCCCACCACCGCGCCGTGACGTAACAGCGGTGAATTCGTGTATAGGGCAACTTTCATGTTTCAACTCGTCGCTAAAGGGTGGCGCTGTTATCGTATTTAGCTGGGTCTAGGTGTGCGCCAGCGGCCCAGGATTCAAAAGTGAGTTTCCCAACTGAGTGTTCTAATAACGTTGACTGAGATGGTGTTACACGGCCTTATTGCTTGCAGTTGAAGGGTTGAAGCAAAAACGAAACTAACTGCCATATTCCCCTTTGAGATCAAGGACACATGTGTTATACCCATTATAACTGTTTTAAATAAGTAATTAGACCCATAATTTTATTTGTGTTGCGTAAGAAACAAATATGAAGACCTCAAAAATAAATTTAAAAGAAAACAAGGGCGACATGCGAAAGGCTGCATTGCCATCGACCAGAATCAATGGCAGCGCCCCAGGAGTGCGGGCTTTGCCCCGTCCCGCGACATGGCGTAATTGCTGATGCTGCATATCTGTCGCCAAGACATGTTTCTTTCTGAGACCTCTGCCTCCACGGTTCATTCTAGGTGTGTCCCCTTGCATTCCAAAATAGTTATGATTCGATAGCCGGCAGTGCTGCGGTGGTTGACATCTTTAGCTCAGTGAGCGATTTCAAACTGAGACCGTGGAGCTCCGTTTGCGCTGACCATGGTTTCGTGCTAACCGCGGTTCGGTCAGCCGTGCAACTACGCAAAACTTCAGTATAGGGTAACTGCAGTTAGCTTTGCTGTAGTTATGGATTCCCGTGTAACAGGGGTATAACTTGTACCACAAATGGGAATGGTGGTAGAGTTGGCTTCCAACTGGGAATGGCTCCATCCAACTGACCCTTAACTGGTCCCTGTTGGGCTCTCAAGTGAGCTCAGTTGAGTTCCAATTGGTTACCATTGAATCCCAATTGGGGCCAGCTGATTTTCAGTTGGGCGCGTTGATTCACACATAGGACCAGTTGATTCTTAGTTGGGATTCTAGCTTGTTAAGTTAGACAGTTTCACCTGGGCTGTAACCGCACCTTTGGAAGTCAGAGATCTGGTCGCGGCGGAAATGAAATTAAAGCAGTTTTCAGAAAAAACACTTACGCTTCCAAAGGCGTGCACCTTCTTGTCGGGAATGAATTTGTCTGGATACACGTTGTCCAGGTACCACTTGAAGCTCTTGCACCGCAAGCTTTTCCGAAGAGCCTTGCGCTTCGAGATGTCCCCGTAGTTCACCTTCTGCAAAATGCATCAAAACAGTTCCATCAACTGCCAATGGAACAAAACAAGAAATCACAGCAGAATTAATATTGCTATTAAAGATTCATTCTAGAGAACCAGAGTGTAAAGTTAAACGGCCCATGAAACGATTTTAACATCGAGAGAACGTGCACATTATTACCCTTTTTTTGTTTACTTTAGCACAAGGACCATAAAACACGACCACTTCTATAGAAATGTCGCGAATGCTCTGCGTAACCGCAAGAACAAAAAGGAACTATTTCTTGACTTGACTTCACGTATGGCGGCCATTGGAACTAACTTTGTGACGTCACGGCGGGTGCGGTTATTGAGATCGCTTTTGAACAAGTATATTCTCAGTTTAATGGTAATGTTTAGAAATTATTTCGTTCAAACATAAACAAAAGAATAGAAAGTTTTATATTCTTGTTCAGTACACGAAGTTTTCGCAGCGCCATCTATCCGGAGTAAGTCAAAGCATCCCCTCCCCGCTGCTCCGCAGCCTAGCAACGTTGGCTGGCTGCTACCGGACGAGTGGTGTGATCAACGCGATATAAAAAACCACGTTTCGGCAGCTGCGTGTTTCCTTTTCTTTCTCATGTGCCTGGTTCCGTTTCACCTGATGTTGTACCGCATGGAAGGCTAGAAGCGCGAGCTCATAGCGTTGGCAGCTGCCTTTGGTGCACGAGAGCTTGTGCCGCCGAGGTGTGCCATGGAGCAAGCAGCTCGCGCTTGTAGTCTTTCCTGCGGTACAACACAAGGTGAAACAGAGTATAGAGGGTATTCACTGGCGGCAATATCCGTGTGCGCTGCTGCTGAGCGCGTGCTGACGGCGAGCTTCCGCAGTCCTTTAGGAGCGTGCATTTAGCACCATCAAGGTTTCCGGTCTGACAAGGCTAATAATGTGAGCTCGTTCTGAGCATGGGCTCTAAACATCGCCCTCAAATATGGCGTCCAGTAAATAGGAAGTATACACTGGCGGCCATAGCTGTGTGCGCGACTGCTGAGCGCGTGTTGATTGCTTTCTTCCAGGCTTCTTTTACAACGTGCATTCCACACCGTCAAAATGGCCAGTCTTAGCAGCCTATTAATGGGGAGAGAGGGGAGAGTCTGCTCTCGCTGTAGGAACGTCCACAGTGCTAAGGAGAGGACAAGACCGGAAGCCGCGTACCCCGCGGCGCGTCATGCGCACGTGACCTGGGAAACATTGTATGAGTTGAGGGGCATCCCCAAATGCCATCTTATTTAGCCGGAAGTCCGAAAATCGTTTCATGGATCCTTGAACAGCAGTGTCCATGAGTGACGCTCACATTAAAACACATCAGTTGCGGGAAAATAGCTTTCGCCAACTCTGGCACGCAATTTAAGAAATATTTGCTAGGCTTCAATTGCAATTTTAAAAACAGGCCAAATGGCATTAATTTTATAGATTAAATAGAAGCATTAAGAGTCATCTACACTAATTAACATGACTTGCAGTGGTAAGAACGAGCTAAACTTAATTTTACTAGGGTACACACAAAACTACCACAAGGTATTTGCACTCTACAAGATATGGGCTCGTATAGCAATTTACGAGCAAAGCAAATTATCCACAGATGTAATGACGCCGTATGAGAAAGCCAACTTTCTGACTTGTTTGTGAATTTGTTTTATTTATTTATTTGGGTAGATTACAAGCTTCATTCAAGGAGCTATTGCGAGAGTGGTTACAGAATAAAAAAAAGAAGCAAAAACAGTGACGCACCATCAAACTAATTAGTTCAAGTGAAATTAAGTAGCAGCTCCAAAGTGACCGAAAGTCGTCACCGAAAGTCACAATGCCATGAGTTATGTTATTCCACTCTTGATTTGCCCGAGGGAAGATATAAAATCCAAAGCAGTCATTTTTAAACTTGTGCAGTGTTAAAGATTGACACTTATTTATTCGGGAGGATGTGGAATACGAAAGTTTTAAGTAATTGCAGCTATCTATATGAAGGGAGTCGATTATGATATTGTAAAGCGTTTTCAGTCGGTCAATTAGAGCCTGTGTTTGTGAAGTCGAAAGCTTTTTTTTCTTTCTTTTACTAATTCGGTGGATGATGGTTCAGTATTATAAGAGTTGTAAAACAAAACCGAGCAGCTACTTAATAAATACGCTCTGCTTTGTTAGTACCTACCATAGTAAGAGTGCACCATATTGAACTCGCTTAAGTTAAAATGTGACTAAGAAACTTTAGATGATAGACGCTTTGTATCACAATCTGCAAATTTTAATTTTCTTTTCAGCCCAAGCAGAGTGCATCAAGCTTCAATAGTTTTTTCTTTTATTTTTTTTTAGTGGTGGTACAAGTTGAGCTTGCTATTAAGCATAAATCCTAAATATTCATATTCCTCCACACGATTTACCCTTAGACCACAAAGAAAGCATTTAAATTGTATAGGCATATTTTACATGGTATAGACATTACAGCTGTTTCACATCACAGTAACTCCACTTGCCGTTTTTTGTTCAACGTTGGATAGCAGTGAGTACTTCCTGTAATGTAAAATTGACTTCGGTTTCACTTTAAATATGATATATGATACAGTCGTCTGTAAATAGCCTGAGAGAAATATCAATGACACTCATTATATCTTTTAGATAATTTAAGAATGAGAGGGGTCCAAGCACTGACCCTTGTGGTAGCCCTAATAAGACTGGAAGTTTGTTGCAATCAACTTTCTTAAAATTAAGATACTGCTGTCTACCTGTTAAATAAGCTGTTATCCAATTTAAAAATTGGGTGTTATTAATTGTATTATAAAGTTTTGCTAACAGTTTCGGATGAAATGCCTTATCGAATGCCTTAGCGAAGTATAAACATATTACATCGGTTTGGCCTCTAGCATCAATGGTTTCTGCAAATTTGTGAGTGAATTTAATGAGCTGTATGGTGGTGTATAATGACTTTCCAAAAACGTGCTGATTATTAGAAATGAGATTATGCTTATCCAGGTGGAATGACATGTGTGCAAAGACAATGTGCTCTAATAATCTACATACTCTACTTGTTAAGGAAATGGGTTTGTAGTTTCGTGCAATCCTTGAATCTCCGTCCTTGTTTGTATTGTGGTATGGTTTTTGCCGTGTTCCAGTCAAATTGTTTAACTGCCTGATCCAGATATACTCCATATAAGACGTGTAAATACTTTGAGGCAATTCTACGTAACGCTTCAGGAAAGCGTTAGAAATTCTATCCGATCAAGCACTTTTTTAGCATCTAATATATTGAATAGTAAATTAAAAATTCGCTCCTATGTATCAAAAGCAATGTCATTTTGATTCACATCTGTTTGTTGAAAGTTTGAAATCACACCATCGTCATCAGTAAAGACTGATCTAAAAATAATTGAACTGATTTGCGGATACATTACTTGGTAACGATAACTTTTCTTTGGGTGAAATATATCGCCAGAACTTTTGAGGCGCGTTTATCACAAAACAACGAAGTGCACTATAAAAGGGCTACTACAACAAAATTTCGGCCCTCATTTTTTGGTCTATATGTGTTCAAAGGAGCAGCATCAGATCGAACATACCAATATCTTGATAAAAAAAGTCACGAAAAGGAATTTTAAAACGAATTAAACGATTAGCAAAGAGCACCTGGTGGATGTCGCTAACGCCTCACTTGTAATGCCCCTCTAGGAAGCTTGACAGCTAGGGACGGAGGTTGTTTCGCCTCCGGCCACGACGAGAAAAGAGGGGCAGGAGGAACTTCCCTCTTCTCGAGAATGTCTTTTGTGTGTCGCAGAAGTTGCTATTGTCCCTCTACAAGATTACAGAAGATTACCTCGCCACTCAAAATTCGTACAAAAGCAGCCGCTTCGGTGGCTGGAACGACTAGGCCATCCCCTCGACATCAGCCTCGCCGTAGCTTTGCTCGTCTTGAGACGACCTACGTCACGATTGCGTTGGATTTCACGTGGTCTCCGATGGGCCTTCTCCGAGCGCTTGCCAGAGTGGGCCGTTTATAACGAAAAATGCAGCCACCGGGCTCAAAATACAAACGTGCGATTGTCATTTACGGATATTGTGGATCATTTGCAACCTATTTTTAAACACGACGGGAATATTTCAAATTTCGTAGAAGTATCTCTCTAAACTAAATTTTTCCGTGTGTCCAATTTTTTGTTTGTTTTTTAACGAATATCTAGTTTGAAAAGAAACTGAAGACATAATTTTGTATTATTGATTTTCGAATTTCTCCTCGGGCAATTCTATGCTATAAATGCAAAATAGGTCTATATATTCAAAAGTTACGAACATTTTTTTATAGTGTAAAGCACGAAGTTTGATACAAAAAATGTTTAACGTATGTTTAAAACTATACCACAAGGCCGCCTCGTCCGGACCACAATCAACAGACACTTTCTCATACATGTAGAAAAATAAATCTAAGAAGTCAAGAACTGAAACGTTATGGGCATTGTTAAGTCGGAAATGGATGTAACGCAGGTCGATAACTTGGATTTCGCTTTAAAGAGTTTGACACAAGCACCACTTTTCAATCGAATATACCCTCACATATTTCAATATTATACTCACGTACAGACAACCTATCATCCAGAAAAACAAGACCTAATAGATATTGGCCTCTAGTTGGATAGTTCACTCTTTTAACCAATTTGTTGGGCGATAAGTAAACTAAAGCTTCTCCATGTGCACAATCTGGATTACTCACAGCACGTGTTTTTCAAATAATACATTATACAATAAAATCACCTCAAAGAATAAAGTTATCTGTACGCTTAACATGGTAAATGCAAATATTTAGGTCACAAATCAAGTTAAGAGGGGTGTGGAAGTCGATATATTGCACAAACCCTTCAATATACGTTTTCACACATTACCTAACATAACAAAACATCATGGTCAAACGGCAGGCAGACAGGCGTAAGCTGTAATGTTTTATGTATTATAGCACTACCACCTTATTTGGAACGCCTCTCTTCCCTTAGAATGTTATAATGGCAAGGGCATATGTTAAAACCTCTAATACCCTGATGTAAGCACGACTCGGTGGCAAGCATGATGTCCAGAGAACGAACAAGAAATAACTGCGGGAATATTTTAAATTTTATTTGCCATACTTTTATTCTAAACTATAAATTATTTTTATTCACGGAAACTGCCTGATTTCCCGAATGACGCTCAACTTTTTTAGATTAAGATGTTTGATATATTTATTTTGTTCCTTGGCTGGCTCAAGACATGAATTCAAATCCCTAGCGCGGTATTCTTTGTTTTGTAATCAGAGCAGCGTAGCTGAGCGAGTTCAGAAGCGCATAGTGCAAACAGTTTCTGATACATGCTTTTATCGTCGTTGTTACTCTAATTATGAGTCACTTGCGAACCATTTCCGCTTATAAGAGCTATCTAAACGACGCACCATTCGTGATGTCATGTTTTATATAACGTAGTATCTGGTCAAATAGGTAACATATCACTTTTGTCATCTGTGAACTTTCACGTGCCGATGCGAAGTAGTAGAGTGATCTTACCATTTTACCTGAATACCCCATATCATGCCTCACACATGTCTAGAATTACGCACTTGTATATTGAACTTCATTATGCAGGTTGGACATACACTCATACAATATTTTATCAATAATGAAAATATTGTATTCTTTTATATACATTTTGTTTGTTTCTAGTGTCGGGCTTTGTTTCAATTTTAGCATGTCGTAAACTCATTGTACAGACCTCTGATGTTCTTGTATTTTGTTTGTACTGTTGGTTGTGCTTTTGTGAAGCTAATTTTTGTTCAAAGCGTGCTAATATGAAGGAATTTATGGCTGTTTTTGGACACTACGAGAAAATAAAGTATTGTTATTATTATGAGTATTATTCAGAAAAAGCGTTTTGATAAATCACCAGAATAACTCACGTGATTTATTGTCCATGGAAACTGCCTGTACAATTTCATTGATAACAAAAATTTATAATTTCGAAACTCAAACAACCCCCCCCCCCCCCCCCCACCCCACCCACCTTGAGGTCGGGACGGTTCTGGTAGAAGTAGTTCTTGAAGCTGTCCATCCAAACCTCGGCAAGGCGCACTGTGTTGATGCCGTGCGTGTCCTTGTTGTTGACGAACTTGTACGGCTGCCATCTACGGAAGATGTGCCCCACATGAGAGCAGGGTGCGATCACCAGCTTCCCGCCACACATCCAAATCTGCGTCAGAGACAGTGGCACTCAACAGCTACCATAGAATACCGAAAGGTCGCTCGCGTCGCACTACACGCCCACTTCCTACTTTTTTTTTCTTTTTTTTTACAAAAAAAAAAAAAAAAAAAACGGGCAATGAATACATTATCCGCCCATGTTGGAAAACTCCCAAGCCCACCGTTCTAAACGAAGTGCTCCTCCATGTGAGCTGCTTCTCCGAGAAGTCAATGCGACGCGGTGAAGCTTTATGCACATGCACCGGTGCAAAGGGACGCAGCTTGGCTTGATTCTCCTGGCGCAAAGCAGGCTTGACGAGAGAGGGGCGGCCGCTGTATAAATTAGAAGTTTCGCCGGACCCCCTACTGCTCCTATATCGATCCGTCGGATTAAACAAGGGTCTGTTCTACCGTATACTTCTTCTGCCGTTCTGCTCTCGGACTTCACAACCGCCCGTCCCCATATTTTTTAAGATTATGTAAAACTTCTGCGTGGGGGCTCGCTCGGTATTTTACGTAAAGCATGAAGTCGGATCACATCACGAGAAAACAGAAACGTATGCAGCTGCCATATTTTGTTTAGTTTGTAATATGTTCTGTATTCGTAGCAATAATTTTTATTTCTGAGAGAGAAACACCGTGCCAGCCTGCAGTAAAAAACCTTCCCATTCAGTCTTTGACGTGGCGTATCCACGCCACACGCAGGTCTAACCGGTGCCTCCTATATACTTACGCAATGCCTGTCGGCTCCGAGCACTGGCAAGCGGAAGGGAGAAGGCAAATAGTACGTGTGGCTGCCGTGCGGTGGAGCCACCTAGGCGTACAAACCTGCCGTGTAGTGAAGCCAACCATCTCTTTCATAGGAGATTCAATGATGTCGCCCCAGCAGCACCTACAGCAAGAAATCTAAATGTCCTTGACCGACAGTTCAGAGCTCGGGACCAACTCGCTGTTTTCAGCGGAATAGTACTTCTAATATTTTCTACCTTTCACCCGGACACGAACCGGCGCCGACTATTTCTATGCGCGCGATTCAAGGTGACCGCCAAACCCCCAAACTGCCAAAGAAGCAGACGGCCAAGCGGCCAAGCGGCCAAGCGGCCAAGCGTTCTCCGCATTCGCGCTGCGAAAACGCGGCCTGGTCGTGCTTGTTTTGTAATTTCGGTATTTTGTCTCAGCGAAACTCGTTTTAATCAGAGGGTCACATTCAGAAAAGTGTTCCACATGTTGTTAAAAAACATGTATATGATATAATAATAATGTAAATACTACATGTTAGAATAAAAGAAAAACGGACGTACGCCTGGCGGCGCTACCTAGCCGTTTGGGCATGTTGTGAGGTAAAGCATCGGGCCTGGGCTCTGAATCACTTAAATGTAGAGTCACGTGCACCACATTGCTTTCAAAATTAAAGAACACGCCAAAATAGTTTTTCTAATGCCTTTTTGTGCAGGTTTAGGTATTTTTATGTAGACTGCTTAATGCTTTCTTTTGTGTGTGAAATAAGGGAGGGTGGTTTATTCTGAAAGTTACAGAAGCGCAGTGACATTGCCTTTTCGTAACTTCCAAAATCGTTGCTTTTTTCTTTGTGCCGAATCGGCATATTTAATTTATTTCAGTATACATCAGACTCGGTGCCTGAAAGCATTTGAGGGTTGTGGGTCCATTTGCACAGTGATTTGTGCGTGCAAGGTTCGAATACAAGGTGGCCTTCCCAGTACCTAAGGCTCTGCATGTAGAATCTTTTTATTGGTGTGCGAATATTCATAATTTTCAAATTGCTAACCAAAAATTTGTTTTTAAAAGTTTCTGATATGTTTAGAATGTGTTTTTTTAATAATCAGAAGGAGATTCGGAACGGTTCACACGTCGAATTTTTGTTTGCAGGCGGTTATTACAGAGACTCCATACGCGCAATAAGGTGTCGCTATGCGTATCTCGCGGTGGGACCCTAGGTATTTGGCAGAAAGTCGGCATATGTTCGTCCGTCTCCTGCAGCTGTACCTAGAGATAAAGTGCGCACTTGCTTGCGAAAACTTATCTTTCCTGGGAAGCCATACGATTATAACTATTTCTTTGTGTGCATGTGAGTGTGACTGTTCATCCGCACTGTTCTATCAAAGCATGAACTACCAACTTGCCCAAGCATCCACATTATCAAGCTACGGAAGCTCATGTTCAGCATTTCAACGTTGGTCTTCTAGTTGTACTCCTATTGTAGTGACTGCCCCAAGGCAGTTTTCATAACTTGATTTTCATGCTTCTACAGTTTCTGCATTGTGCCCAAATTCTACTGTAGTCGCCCAACTCATACATTGTTGTTGCTTTGGACTAATCTTGATCACAGGCTTCAATTCTGGTAGTTTTCACTTAGCATTGAACTTTTTCCATGGTTTCTGGTGAACTGTGTTAAGCTGTACTCTTTACAATCAGTGTGCCAAATATTCGGAAAACACTGGATTCGGTGGGGAAAGTCACTATTTACACACCCATATTTATTTTGTCATTCGTAATTTTCAAGGCGAGTTTGTACCACTTGCTATACAGCGAGGGCAGAGGGTTATAACCCGCTTTAAATAAATGGTAAAAATCTGTTTCACGTACTTACACTTTGTGACTTACGACATTGTTGAACTAGACAATGAATTTATTTCATAAAAATGTTAAAGAAAACGCTTGCCTCAGTCAAAAGTCACAATTGAAAACAATAAATTGTCCATGGACCGCCTTGGAGTTAAGGATACTTTAGACTTGAGTTTCAAAATGCTGTTGTGGGCCACTGGGAACGATTGAGTAAGCTAAAACAAAATGTGGGGAGAAGATCCTTGTCACTTTACTCTGGTCGCCCGGTTTGTCTCACGTATGCCCCAGTTGCCTGCAACAACGTTTTTAGCTATAGTCTCAGATGGGCTTAACTTCATGTCGGTCCATAGAAAAATTATTGTTTTCATTTGTAACTTCTGACTAAGGCAATATTTTTCTTTCGAAATGTTTACAAGTCTACCACCTAGTTGAACCAATGTCGCAAGTTACAGTGTCGCAGCGAGCAAAATTGTTTTGTAGATTTCACTTGAAGTTAATTAGATCCCTTTGGCCCTCGCGGTAGTTTGTTGTGGCTCATTATCAGCAGGAGATACGAGCTTTTTCTTTTTTCCACATTAGAAAAGAAAATTCCAGAGTCTACTTTCCTCCACTCCAGCATCCATTTAACTACTATCGGTAAAAGGACGGGCGCAGCGCACTGGTGTCCTTGTGTTGCAACACACTAGTCACCCCCAGTCATGACTTGGTTTGTATTGCTTTTTGTAATATGCTTGATACTAGATCTACGTTATATCACACTGCGTTTATTTCGATTCTGCTTTGTACAAGACTCAGTTATTTGAGTTCACCCTGATGAACCTTCGTTATGCCAAGCAGTGTTCCAAGCATTCACTGTTACTTGCCGGATAGACACAGATTTTTATGCACTTCTTTGTGATAATTTTATTGCCTGTCACGAGCTAGAGCTCAGAAAGTGTTGTTCCAATTGCCTTTATTGCGCCCTTAGTGGCTTCATCTTAGAACTCCTATAAGATGTCTTGTCATGCCATTGATTTTTATGCCATTCTGTTTGTTACAGTCACAATAAAACATTGTCCTTTACTTTCAGAAGTCGTGACGTCCTCATCTATTATAAGGCCCACCCTTGAAGGGTGTACTATTAGACAAACAAAGGGACATAGTACCCTTCTTTAAGGAGTAAAAGTGATCCCATCAGGTATAAATTTAACCCCAAAAGGGATCATAGTTCCCTCCATAAAAGGGTAAATGTTTATTTTAGGGGCGTGTACTATAGTTCACAAAAAGGGGCAACCGTTGCCTCAATATGCAGCTGAAACCAGCCCCCTTTAGCAGGTACTGTAGACTACAAAAGAAGGTAAAAGCAGCCCCTTCAAGCATGTCGCGTTACCTCCCAAGTGGTTTAGAGCTTCCCCCTAATGGCGCATTCACATTGGCGGTTGAGCCGCGTTTGAAAAGCGGTTGCTGATGCGGTTCGCGAGCGACGCCGTACAGACACACCAAGAGGTGGTTGGCGGTTGGCGAGAGGCGCTTGGCGGTTTCCCGGCGATCACGCGTGATCTTCTGAGAGTTGTTTTTGTCAACCCTGCTTTACAATACAAAATTCGCTTTAATCCACGGTCCAAAGCCAAATTTTTCTAATTTGGCACTCTGAACATTTTTCTTCGGGATGTTCGCACGCATCACGAGTTCAGGCAGCGAAAAAAGAGACATGGATCAGCGAAACTTTCCTGCGATTTCCTCGACTTCACCCACAAGCAAAGCCCAGCTAGGCGCGCTTCGTAGAGTCAGAAGAGGATGCCCCCAACCTTTTCTTCGAAGTGGACCCTTCTCGCATGAATACGCTGACCTTGTTTTCGGGATAGAGGAACAGTTTCCCTCCCCTTGTTGTTCGCTCTTATTACTTTCAAAGTTATCAGCGGTGCGATGGACAGTGGTGCGGGAGAATGTGTTCGGTGCTAGCCGGTCGTGGCTTCGTTGGTGGCAGACTCTCCTCTCGTCGCTCGCAAGTCGATTGAGTGTACTGATTGCTTGACATTAAGCTCAGATAGACGCCGTATGGATTACCTCTGCATCGTCTGGTACGTACACATTTATTTCTTGAGTATGTACCCTTTATTTCTTTTGTTAGCAATATACGTTACAGGTCGAGCTAGCGCGCGTACCCTGCCCCCTGCGCGGTAGTGCGTTGGCTGCGCAATCAGGCTCACGACGACTCCATCTGCCTTCGTGGCGGTCGTGCACTGAGTCAAAAGCTTCCAATAGTTCACGCGACTGTCTTAGTAGGCACGAAAACTGACATTTCGGTCGATCAGGGGCGGGTTTCGAAGTTCTACGGGCAGAGACTAACAAGGCAGCAAGCTTCGGGCTGTTGCACCCGGAAAAATAAACAAACTCTTACCCGAACCAAATCACCGGTGCGAAGCCCGTTAAAGTTACGAGTCATTT